TGAGGCTGCCTTGCCGCCTCTCGCCGCAGCCCTGCTTCCTCAAGGACTGGGAGCTTCACGTCCACTTCAAGATCCATGGAGCCGGCAAGAAGAACCTCCATGGGGACGGCATCGCCCTGTGGTACACGCGGGAGCGCCTGATGCCAGGTAACAGCACGCAGTGGTGGTGGGGGAACCTCGGTGGCAGGTCGCAGGGAGCCAAGGCCTCATTGGCACTAATGTGTGCCCTGAGGACAGCTCATAGGAGCTGTCACTTGGAGCTGCCGCTGTCCTGAGAAGATTTTCTCTGGAGCTTCTATTTGATCTCCCTTCCAAATACTTTTACTAGATCAGGAATCCCACCCTTGAATTCCTGTGCCCTCGTGCCCTGGTAGCAGCTGAACTCAGTGACTTACCTTGCAACAAACGACTTCTGCAGCTGTTTTTAACAGAAATCTTGCCAGTGTCTGGTACCTGGTGTTTCCCTTGGTGTGCTCTGTGGAGAGCATGGCTGTGTGAAACCTGCTTGTGGTAGTTCATCAAGTCTCACATCCAGTGTTCTCGTGCAGCTGCTGCCTGCGCAGGGTTTGCTCTGGGCTGAGGCGGGGCTCTATTGCTCTAGCTGACTGGAAGAGATCTCAGTGTGCTGCCAAACTCGCCATGAACTGAGACTTCAGTACATGAGTAAAGCATTGTATTACTCTTCCGTTCACTTCATTTTGGACTCTCTAGGAGATGGCAGATGTGTGTTTTGCTTTAGAGCGTGTATTTCTTCTGAGAACTTTGTTTACTGTATTCTGCCCTGTTCCAGGTCCTGTCTTTGGCAGCACAGATTACTTTCATGGATTGGCTATTTTTCTGGATACGTATCCCAACGATGAAGCAACAGAGGTGAGTAGCTGAGGGAGCTTGTTCCATGCCAAGGAGGCTGCTTTCTCATGGCTTGGCACTCTGACTTCTTTGTGCTTGGACCAAGGAGCCCTTTCTCCTTATATGAGAAATGGCTGTTCTCCATGTCATGGGACCTGGTAAAGGAAAGAGGATGTATTTGCATTAATGGAGGTAAGGTGCTTGCTCCATCTTCTCATGTTGTTGCCTACTCAGATACATTTCCAAGACCTTATTTCTGCTGGTTTAGAGAGCTATGCAGAGCCAGTGTTCAGTGCATCACCTACTAACTAAAGTTAGAGAAATCTACCAGGAAGTTTATTCATCCCGAACCTTGTTTCCTGAACTTATCTGTACTTTGGCTAATCAGTCCAAACTGTTCCTGGCCTTATTCTCCATTTCCAACCTATGTGTATCTAAAAGAGGAACTCCTCTACTGGCTTTTTGTGCTAGAATTCCCTTTGATAGAAAGCCAGTTCAATCCCATTGCGAGGTGTTGGTGCTGATGGTGCTTTATTTCTGTTCTGCTCAGTGTGTGTGTGGATCTAGTTACAGTGTGCTCGGAAGACATAACCATTAGTGAGATCTCTTGCATCAAAAACATGATACTTGTCTTAAGCTGTGAGGCACCTGGGAAATTACCCCATCTACCTGTTGTCTTGATACTCAATGAGAGGGTAATTCTTGCCTCCGCTTGGCCTCTTCCAACTCACTGACTGCAAAACCCAAACAGTGGTTAGGCTGCTAATGTGAGATTACATAGTTCGCTGTGCTTTATTTTTAGCTTTCCCTTCTGGTCTCATGCTTACTCTGCAAGTTACTTTTGGGGTCGGATAGTCTTATTGCCGTGGTCACACCGTACTGTGTAATGTCCCAGCCCATAAGGGGGCTTGATACAGAGGATCGCAAATGACTGCTCTAGTAATAGGAGGATCCAGAGCACAGAGGATATCTAACTAGGGTATGAGTTCAAGAGGAGGATTACATTGTGCCTAGGTCGCAGAAGATGAATGTTGTTAGGTTTTTTTTGGTTTCTGAGGTTGCTGTGGTCAAGCACAGAAAACCATAGGAGACTTAGGGAGAACTTGCTTCAGGTCATCCACAAAAAATAAGCAAAGTTTCTTTCCCAAATGCGGGTTATTTCTGCTGCCTAGCTGTGCCTTCTAACTGCTTCAGACGGAATGAGCTCTCACTCAGTTCAGAAGCAGCTTGACACAGAAAAGAAGCCTTGATTTATTTGTTCTACCCTCTGTACTGGACCTGTGGGACCTGTGGTCGGGGAACGGAAGCAATTGAAAGCAGATGAACATATTCAACTGCAGTTTGATACCTGGGGTACAAGGGTGGCTTGAGGGGAAGGAGACCTGGACCTGGCAGAGCGCAGGTCTAAGGGTGCTCTGAGGGTGCAGGCAAAGCTTTGGCTCTGTTGCTTTGAGATTGCCTTGCTGAGCTGCTGGTCTCGCTGAGGTTTCTGGCCAGGCAGGGGACGGCAGCTGTTCCAGGGCCAAAGCTTGAAGGCTCCTGCAGAGTGAAAGCACTGATGTTCTCTTCTCTGCAGCGTGTCTTCCCATACATCTCTGCTATGGTGAATAACGGCTCCCTGAGTTATGATCATAGTAAGGATGGACGCTGGACGGAATTGGCAGGATGTACCGCCGACCTTCGGAACCAGAATCATGACACTTTTCTGGCAATTCGCTACTCCAGAGGTCGGCTGACGGTGAGATGTGCAGGGAGCCCCGTGGCTTCTGCAGGCTATCTTAAGATTGTTAGGCAGGGCAGTTCTGAGGGTGAGTGTTGCTATGTCAGTAGGTGACTTGGCAACAGCTGGCCAGGCTTGGCTGCCTGCTCTCCTGCACCTCTAGCTCCAGAAGAGCTGTAGGCTGGGCAGGATGGCAGTGTGCTTTTTTGATGTGATGTTCCTATTGTGTATCTTGCAGGTGATGACAGATGTGGAAGACAAGAATGAATGGAAGAACTGCATTGACATTGCAGGGGTCCGACTGCCTACTGGCTACTTCTTTGGGGCTTCTTCTGGCACTGGAGATCTGTCTGGTGAGTGGCCTTTGCTCACAGGAATACATACTATTTGGTGCCTGGAATATAACGCTATAGATGCAGTAGATTGTCTGTTTTCCCTGAATTTTCCACTGGTCTCTTCAAACCATATTGGCTATGGGACCTGTGGTCGGGGAACGGAAGCAATTGAAAGCAGAGGAACGTATTCAACTGCAGTTTGATACCTGGGGTACAAGGGTGGCTGGAGGCGAAGGAGACCTGGACCTGGCAGAGCGCAGGTCTAAGGGTGCTCTGAGGGTAGGGACATCTCTCGGGGCTTCTAACAGTCTGTAGTGCTGATGGTTGTTTCCTAGACAATCATGACATTATCTCGATGAAGCTATTCCAGCTCATGGTGGAGCACCCTCCAGAAGATGAGAACATTGACTGGACCAAGATCGAGCCTAGTGTCAGCCTCCTTAAGTCACCCAAAGGTGAGTCTCCAAGCTTCAGAAACCCGATGTGGAGGTTTCGGACGTCAGGTCTGCATTCTTCTAAGGCCTGTTGGAAGCTCAGTTGCCATAGTAGTGGTTGCTTGTTCTGGGTGTGGGGGCCAGTGTCACGCATCGGCAACCAGTGGTTGCTGCCAGGGCAGTGAAAGAGAATGTGTCTTGTAGAGAAAACTTAAATCCATCATTTGAGCGCTATGATCTCCCTGTTCCTTCTCAGTGTAGCAATGCTGCAGCATTGGCTTTTCCAGAAGCCGCTCTGCCAAAGAGCGGCATGGGAGCTGTGACTCCCTGGGTGCGATCCTGGAGAACTCAAGGTTGAGCCAGTCTCTTTAACTTTTCTTGTTCCTGCAGATAATGTGGATGACCCGACAGGTAATTTCCGAAGTGGGCCTCTGACTGGATGGAAGGTGTTCCTGCTCCTGCTCTGTGCACTGCTGGGCATCATTGTGTGTGCTGTGGTGGGAGCTGTAGTCTTCCAGAAACGCCAGGAGCGGAACAAGCGTTTTTACTAGTGGAAGAACTGGGCTGTGGCCCATGCCCAAACTGATTTTTTTTTTTTTCTAGAGGGAGCTGTAAAAACTGGTTTCTAAAAGCTGTTTCTGAGAAATATCAGAAGTATTTTCTTATCTGTCCGTTCTGCCGTAACTCCTGTTAGGTACTCGGCA